AGGGAAAATATATGTATGGGAAATCCAGTCCAGCCCTCCTGTCCTCATTTCGAGGTCTGCTTCCTTGATTCTTCACTTGTTCCTTATTCTTTCAACACACACACCTCACCTGACAACAAGCAATCTGGATCATTTTTCATTTGACGTGTACATACTCTTGCTTTCTCAGGCTATCTCATGTGCAATCAAAATCTGCAATTAGACAGACTGCAATGTCCTTCGATGGAAGGTAAAATTTCCCGAATGGATTTCCTTTCTTTGTTTGACATCAACATGTAATGTATAATCTTGGAGCATATAACCAGCGGTGTCTGTGTGCTGCAGCACCATTCTTTGCTGCTGTGAGGACGGGACAATATGGCGGTGGGATGTTGTAGCAAGTTCTTGAAAATGTCCATAGGAGAAGGGCCATTGAAGGTGTGAAATACACTTTCATGGTTGACTAAATCGTGTTCCATATGTTGAAGTTCTGTGAGTCGTGCTTGATCACAGATGCAAAGTATTGCAACAAACGAATCTGCAGCCAAAGCATTGTACGTAGCATCTGAATGATGGAAATCTTGGGTTGCATCAACATGTTAACCGTCTTTCTGTGTGTATCATGGACGTGCTGCATAATTTATTTAGTTACACAAGGAAAACAGTTAGTCCTCGTTTGAGCCACATTATTGTAAAAGTGAAAATGAAAAATATAGTCGTTATGGGCTCCACACAAGAGCTAAAAAGTCAAATATGATGGCTTGATGTGATGGATAACGGTGATATTTTTCGTTTTAATGAGGAAATAATGGGACTCAAACAGAGCCTGAGTTAAGTCCGGTGCACTACATATATGTAAATGTGTGGTAAAATCTACATGGTTATAGGATCACCAAAGCTTCACATAGCAAGTGAATTTCGTAATAGTGTGCAAAAATGGTAAGTATAATCCATCGTATTCAAAAGCCGAACCATTTGTAATCACTACTTAACTTTGACATAATGCGTGAGAAAATAAGTGAAAAGTAGGAGAACACTGAAAAGTGAAAGTCTTTGTTCATGTCAAGCGGAAAAGTAATATCATCTTTGCTGCCCTCGAGAATACCAGTGTTAAAATGGACAGGGGGTGATGTAGGATCAATTGGGATTTCAGCAGTTAAATTATAATGAGCAGAAAATCAGCAAATGTGTGTGGTAAAATCTACATGGTTATAGGATCACTAAAGCTTCACATAGCAAGTGAATTTCGTAAGAGTGTGCAAAAATGTATAATTCATCGTATTCAAAAGTCGAATCATTTGTAATCACTACTTAACTTTGACATAATGCGTGAGAAAATAAGTGAAAAGTAGGAGAACACTGAAAAGTGAAAGTCTTTGTTCATGTCAAGCGGAAAAGTAATATCATCCTTGCTGCCCTCGAGAATACCAGTGTTAAAATGGACAGGGGGTGATGTAGGATCAATTGGGATTTCAGCAGTTAAATTATAATGAGCAGAAATTCAGCAGCGGAATAATAAGAAATATGCAGCAAGAAGGGGGGAGAATCAGAGAGAATGGGGAAAGAAGACCGAAGAAGACACGGGAAGAGAATGAGAGAAGAGGAAAACTTAGGCAATAAACCAAGCAATTTACTTCATCAATTCATTAATTGTTCCAAGTAAACAACAAAACAGATATAAATAGCAAACAAAACCTTAAAGATAAAGTGCTTGGGCCAAATCCATTATACAACCCAATTACGCAAATAAGAGTCCAAACATAAATAAAGGTCTAATGAGAAAAGTAAATAAAATGGATGTCCATATCAACTCTCCCGGGGTTAGAGAAAACTCGATCCCGTTGAGTAGGTAAATCACAAATTACTGTAGTTAATCTGATACCAAAAATGCTTCAAGTCATGCCACGGAGGACGATCTTTCCGATGAATCAAGAATTGAAATTCTATGATTGATAATAATGAAAACTGCAATTTATTCCCAAGAATATGATTTAACCAAGGAAGACAATCTTTCCTTCTAATCAAGTACTAATACTGGACTCCAAATAACCAACATTCATGCACCTTATCTCCAAAATTTTCACATGACTGTGCACAATGAGGAGCACAAGAAGCTAGCACCGAAAACTGGCATGTAGAGACAAAAGATTACAACATCGAAGGGTCGAATGTGCCTTTATTGGGAAACAATTCTTCGACATTGAAAATATAACTTTCATTTAAGTGAGATGACCAGTCAAATAGAGAACCTTTATACAAGTGATCCAAAATTTTTTTTTTTTCACATTTTTAGGAAATCGAATCAAAGAGACTTACAATAAAATATAGTACTTGTCAATAGAGTACTCTAATTTATATGGTACATCGAAAGTAAACTCAAAAATTTCATGATTGAAAATGAATTGACCTAATTTAGGAACATTGCCAACATAATGATGAGTTAGCACAGCGTGTTGATAATTAGTGGGCAACATCTTAATGTCAATAGGAAGAGTGTGCAGTCAGGTAGTGACCTTAGAAAACAATGTGGCAACTCTTGGGTATAGGCAGCAGAAATTATTTTGATGAAGGGAACAGTGTTTTGATAAAGCGAACCAACCTGTAAAATTGTGAGATGGTATAAATTTAGTAGATGGCTGGCTTGAGACTAAAATCTTTGGCTGAAAACCCAGAGCCCCGTTTCAACGCTGTCTTTCAAATTAAGAATTTGTAGAAAGTGTATGGTCTCCATGATGGTCTAGAACTCAAAGTTAAGTAGCAATCTGATGAAGGGAAACTATGTTTGGCTCTGATACCACTTTGATGTAGGAACAATTGGGATTTCAGCAGTTAAATTATAATAAGCAGAAAATCAGCAAAGGAATAATAAGAAATATGCAGCAAGAAATGGGGAAAATCGGAGAGAATGGGGAGAGAAGACACAGGAGGAGAAGTGGAGAAGAGGAAAACTTAGGCAACAAACCAAGCAATTTACTTCATCAATTCATTTGATTGTCCCAAGTAAACAACAAGACAGACATAAATAGCAAACAAATCCCTGAAGATAAAGTGCTTGGCAAACTTATTATACAAGTTAAAGTGCTTGGCAAACTTATTATACAAGTCCAATTACGCAAATTAGAGTCCAAACATAAATAAAGGTCTAAAAAGAAAAATAAATAAAAAGAAAAAATTCATAAACCATGTATTGACTATGCACAATTCAAAAATCAAGTTTTAAGTTTAACTAATGCAAAAAATCATGTTTTTATCTAATTAATTAAAAATATTTATTAATTAAATATAATAAGGTCACAATTATACAATTAATGGTCACATGTATACAATTATAGATTACAAATTTATTTACTGGTCACATACCATCAAATTAATTGGTCACGGATCATTTTGAGATCACAAATCAAAACTTTAATAGGTCATAAATTATTTCGAAGTCATATATCACAATTTATCTATCGATTTTATTGGTCACAAATCCAAAAAATTATAGGTCACAAGTCATATATTTTCAAATTGGATGGTCACAGATTATTTCGAAATCATATATCACAATTTATCTATCGATTTTATTGGTCACAAATCCAAAAAATTATAAGTCACAAGTCATATATTTTCAAATTTGATGGTCATAGATGACTTTTTTGAATTTTAAAGTCACAGATTAATAGTATAATTGGTCGCAGACACCAAACACCCAAACCGATCGTCAACAGCCACCACATTCAAAATCAAGACACAGATCGAATTGTAGATCTAAATAATCATTTGTCCCAAACCACCCAAAAAACCCCAAACGTAGATGACAAAGAAACTGTAAGAAGCAGCAAATTTAGCACTAAATAGCTGTAGCAGATCTTCCCCAAATTCCTCATCATTCTACACCAGAACATCACCGCTCACACTTTCAACAGATCGTTCCCCAATTTCGCCGCCATTCAGCACCAGAGTGCGACCTAACTCCGGCAGCATCGCACTACAACAACCCATAAAACAAGATTAGAACCCAACTCCGACGAAAAGCTAGAGAAAAGTGAGAAGCCAAACGTTTCTATAATTAAAGGCGAATTAGTAAACCAACTGGTGTGTGGTGGAAATTTTTGGGGGGGAGGGAGGGGGGAGAGAGAGGATAGGATTGACTTTTGAGAGATGCCTCGAAAAATCTTGCTGCGAGTGTGTTTGAGGGGGTGTGATGTTATTTATAATTCCAGAACATTTTATTATTAATATTAAAATATAAATTAACCGCCTGATTTTTGCACAAACAAACATTCAACCTGATTTTTAAATTATGATCTTTAAATGCCTATAAGGGTGTAATTTTCACTAAATAAAATGGATGTCTGCGTCGGGGCCTAGGATTGAGTCGACCCGGCTAGTTAAAAATCTGGCCAGAACGGGTCTGGCATGCAGTATTCCACGGGTCCTGATCAGTTCAGCTGTAATCTATTGAAATGGTCTGGACGGGGCCCGGACTTGGAAGATATTGCCATATTGGTGTCATGGTGTGCCAATTTGAATCGGCCTAGACTTCTCTGCTCGAGGGCCTTGCCCGACTAGAAATTTTGCCGAAAACGGGCTTCAAGTGTTGCACTAGACTACAAAATACAACGTGGCCAGCTTTTTCCACTCCACACCCACATGCTAATTGCAGCTTGTCGTCGAAGAAAAGGCCATAAATTTGTCCACCGCTATTTTTCCTTGTTGTGAAGGGACATCAGATTATTCTGAGGGATATCAAGTAGTTTTCATCCATAATTCTAGGGCCTGGTCTGAATAGTCGAGGGCCGTTAATCGTTGGTGTTAGAAACTTGGAGTAAAGGTGAAGGGACGAAATACTCGAGTTCATATTTATTGTCCCGACTTAGCTATGACTTGATATTTTAGTAAGTCAAGCTTCGTCATCGATTGTGATTCACAAAGCTTACCATTTTTTTCCCATGCCACGATTGAGTTGTGATAGGACAGAAACCATAAGGCAAAATAACAATAAAAGAGCATAACTTTCCAATTTCTAGAAAGAAATTGAAGCATTTATGTTTGGCCTTTTGGTTTGAGGAAGAAAAGAATAACAATCATTAGAGGGCATTCTATAGTTTGGCACCAAAGTTCTAAGATTTTAACAACTTCCCCCCTTAAAGAGCCCAAAAATTATTTTACCTCGTCAATTTGCAATATCTCACTCAAGTATAAATATATTCTTGACCATTTGGATGTAGGGATGTAAATGGATCGGATATTTCCAAATTTGATCGAACCTTAAGAACAATTATCCTATCTGATCCGATAATCCAAAGGCCATTTACTATGTTATCAGATATCCGATCCGATAATCCGATTTGAAATTGAAAAAAATTAGAAAGATAAAAATTTATATTAGTCAACTTCTAAGCCCTAAATTAAGAGATCCGAATAGCTTTTTACTCAATTATTGCCCCATCTATTTATAGATCGTAAAGTTTATGATATTCAGGTAAGTATCCAATGTGGGGAGTAAGAAGTTAGGAATAATAAAAGCAACTCTAACTATTGGCTCATTTGGTTGTTTAATTTATAAAATAAATTAATTATTTTTTACTTTATTATAATTAATAAAAAAATTAAATCTCTTCAGATATTTCAATTACCAATATTATACTATTATCTAATATTATTTATTATTTGAAAATTATGTATAAAGTATAATACAAGTTTCAAAATGGGAAAAATTATGTGTAATAAATTATGCGATGATATATAAAATATATTATATTAGTATATAAATTTGATCGGATTGACCTATATCCATATTTGCTTCATTTAGTTAACGGATAATCAAATTCGGATTTTGATCCAATTATCGGACCGAGATCTTAAATCTATCTCCCATTAATTTCATCGAATTCGAATCAAAATTCAATCCATTGACAA